AAAAAAAAAAAACGAGCTCATTACCGGTCCCAGCCACTACTAGCGGTTATTGAAACTGTGACTTTTTAAAAACTTGCTAAACCGTCAAACTGGGAATCGACCTGTGCCTGTTCACGGGCAGATATATTTATTTTTTTTGTCCTCTGCGAGAAACAAATATCAGTCGTGAGCAGCCTGAGCAGTCGTGTCTTCTTCGTGTACATACGGATGTCTGTCTGGATTTTACTCCCCCTCGGTGAGTAAGGCGCACACTCAACAAGGAACAAAATGCGGTGCTGGAGCAGATTCAGGCCATCTTTATTGATTTATAAATCAAGAACCTGAAACAGTTGTACGGTATTAAATCTCCATTTCACTTGTGAGGAGGGAGACCCAGTACTTCCAAGCAGAAGCCCATATTGATTCCTGGGTTGCATTAGCAAAAGAATGTGATGCTCAGATTCAGCAGTATGCATCTATCAATTGTTTAAATGAAAAAAAGATGCACAGTTGTCTGGTATTCCTAAGGAGAATCTTGGCCACATCTGGATGGATTCTCATTTTCGTGGACATTCTGTATTTAATCTTCCCTTTTCTTACATCGGTCTGGATCGTCCTCCCTGAACCAAAGTGCTTTTGGCGAGCTGCGGGAAGAAGCCGCCTGCCTTGTTTTTGTGAAAGTGACGCTGCTGACGGCCGGCTTCCTTCATCCCGTCAGAAAAGAACACTTCGCACACACTCCGCCAGTGTTTTTCGAATGAAAGGACACACTCGGTGTAAAATCTGATTGAGTGGAACAAGGTTATTTCTCAACCCACTGTTGCATTGTAAAACGTGATTTTGTAAACGTTTTTCAAAGCTATTTTGAGTACAACCATTTGGTTTTGGCACACTGAGGTCCAGTGCTTTGTACCGGCTCCTTATAAGGTTGCAATGTCTGGATTTGGTGTGACTTCACATCCACACAAATGGAATCACTTGAGGCTTGCGTGAGTGCATGCGTGCATTTGTTCGGCTCCCCGGCAAAACTCAAACCACGTCTCTTGAGTTGCAACTTGCACTTGTAAATGTTGCTGTTCGTAAACCGAAGTGGGATGTGAACAAATATGACTCAAAAAAAGCCGCCTGCTTGTAATTTCAGACCATATCCCCGAGGACCTGAGGGATCCCTTCTACACAGACCAGTATGACCAGGAACACATCAAGCCCCCCGTCAAAAAAGCCGCCTGCTTGTAATTTCAGACCATATCCCCGAGGACCTGAGGGATCCCTTCTACACAGACCAGTATGACCAGGAACACATCAAGCCCCCCGTCATCCGCCTGCTGCTGTCCTGCGAGCTTTACTGTCGCGTCTGCGCCCTCATCCTCAAGACAGAGCAGGCCGCATCCCTCCAGTCGCACCACTCCGTCATCCAATCTCTGGACAGGAAGGGCATTTATGTTGTGGAGAGCGACGACACGGCCGTCACGGAGGAGGACCTGGCTGGTGTGCCCATTAAAATGGTGAGTCGTACTCCGGAAAGAGTTGGCCATGAGGCGCGTGCAAATGTGTGCACGCCTTGAAATTACATTTAACCTTTACAAGGAGCTAAAGATGGCTGCCAAGATTATTGAGGCTGTTCTTATCATTGTACAATTAAATGACGGAGAGGAATTTTACTGTAAGGGGTTCGGAATGTCATTCAAGACGGCAGTCAAATGCAACCTTAGGAATGTCTGAATGCTGCAGGACAGTATGTGCAATCCATCCATATATCCATTAGCTGAACCGCTTAGCATCGAAGGGTCGCGGGCAAGCCCGAGCCTAGCAGTCATCTAGCAGTAGGTGGAGGGACACCCTGAACCGGTTGCCAGCCAACCGCAGGGCACACGTAGACGAACAATCATTCACGTCATCCAATCTCTGGACAGGAAGGGCATTTATGTTGTGGAGAGCGACGACACGGCCGTCACGGAGGAGGACCTGGCTGGTGTGCCCATTAAAATGGTGAGTCGTACTCCGGAAAGAGTTGGCCATGAGGCGCGTGCAAATGTGTGCACGCCTTGAAATTACATTTAACCTTTACAAGGAGCTAAAGATGGCTGCCAAGATTATTGAGGCTGTTCTTATCATTGTACAATTAAATGACGGAGAGGAATTTTACTGTAACGGCTTCGGATTGTCATTCAAGACGGCAGTCAAATGCAACCTTGGGAGTGTCTGAATGCTGCAGGGCAATATGTGCAATCCATCCATATATCCATTAGCTGAACCGCTTAGCATCGAAGGGTCGCGAGCAAGCCCGAGCCTATCCTGGCAGTCATCTCGCAGTAGGTGGGGGGGGACACCCTGAACCGGTTGCCATCCAACCGCAGGGCACACGTAGACGAACAATCATTCATGCTCACAATTACACCTAGGGGCAATTTAGAGTGCTCCATTAACGTGCCATGCATGTTTTTGGAATGTGGGAGGAAACCGGAGTACCCGGAGAAAACCCACATGGGCACGGGGAGAACAGCAAACTCCACACAGGAAGGCCAGAGCCGGAATCGAACCCAGGACCTCTCCGCTGTGAGGCAGATGTGCTAAGCAGTCGCCCACTGTTGACGCCCGAGTGCACATTTACGAGGAAATTTAAAAACTATAGAAAGCAGATTTGCAGATCGCACTTTTGTTTCAACGGCAGTGGAGTACTCGGCAGAATACTACTTCCTGGAGGAGTGGTATCCAAGAGCGGCAGCTCCATTTCCCAAAGATGATGTCACGCTCTTTGTATTTAGACCACAAACTATAGCTCAGCGTGAATGAACAGCCTCCTTGATCAATGCAGCCGACTTGTACGCTCCATTTTGCTTTCAACACGATTACTTCACTTTCACACAGAAAGGACTGTTGGACCTTCCTTCTTCAGTACAGCTGTACGGTATTACCGAAATAAATACGGAGATTTAAAATGAACCCTGAAAGCACTTTTACAATTAATTGACAAAGTTGAAAGCAAAGGAGATTTCCACATTCGTTTTAGTCTTATAAATGTAAAATGTAGTTTAGCACTCTTGTTTTTATTTTCTTTTATTGCCTTTTTTTTTTTTTTTTTACTGTGTTCATTTTTGTTAACTGTTTAAACTTTATATGACAGGAGTTTAAGCTGTTACTTAAAATTGCTTACCCAATTATGTTTTTTTGTTGTTTGTTTGTTTGTTTTTTCGGCAGCTTGTTTTGAGCCTGAAACAAATTACTGTAGTTCAGTCAGCTTTCTTTTGTATGGGATGATTTGTTTTAAAATGAGCTTAGTTTAACTTGAAACTGAGCTTGCGTCTCAGAACAAGATTGCGGTGGCTCCATGATTTTGGTCTTAACGCACTGGAATTCATCACAGGACAGAATGTCCATTGACCACCGGCTGAGTTGCTTTCAGCGCTCTTCCTTCCTGTTTGTTACGATGGAGACCAGTGTGAGTCTGCTTTTTCTGCTTGCGGCATGATGTCATAATCCACACAGTCAGACACAAAGCCCAGCGAGGGGATGGAAAATCCTGTGCAGGATAGCGCTTGTCCCGCGTGTCGGGCTTTAAAGCCCCTCCCACTTTGCTGACTTGACAAAGCATGTTCATAGAAAACCCGAAAGACACTGTGAGCTTCTCCTGCGCACAGTATTCCCCCATCAGCGTTTAAGTGCCACAGCAGATACTTGTAAGCCATCTGCTTGTGTCTTCACTGCGTGTGTTTGACACGACACAGAATTATCATGCGCTCCTCCTGTCCTCTTCCAGAGTGCCCACATCCCCATGATTGATGCCCTGATGATGGCCTACACAGTGGAGATGATCAGCATTGAGAAAGTGGTCACCTCTGTGGAGCGTTTCTCTACCTTCAACCCCTCCAAGGAGCTTCCCTTTGACTTGGAGGATGCCATGGTTTTCTGGATCAATAAGGTAGAAACCAGTCTGTGGAACACAAGAAGGCACACGTCAACCGGGGTTATTCCCGGTTCCGATTGAAGCAGAGATGGTTACGTTTTGAGCGGTGTCATGGCGACATCTGCGCAAACAAACATTTGCCTGTATTTTATGGATATATATATTTTTTTTATGTCTTGCTTTTTCTGAAATCATATATTACACTCCAACCACAGCAACCTCGTTATTATATTAAGATGTTCAATTAACAGTCATATAATTTAATCACCAAATTCAAACCATCAAAATAAGTGCAGCTGAAGCGCTTGCATGAGTGAATAATGCAGGGCTTGACGAACATTTGGACTGGTAGCACTGGTGTGACCTGCTTTTTCAGCCGGTCGTACAAACACACAAAAAAGGTCGCACCCTTTTTTGGGGCTGTACAGCGTGACCGTATTTGCTGATGTATGGTCACCTCAATTGCCGTGGTCAAAAACTTGTTTACCTCTCGGAAATCCAGAAAATCTGTCAATTGAATTTGTCGCCTTTCATCTTTATATGTAGCAAATTGCACACTGACAACACCATTAATACGTCTTGTGTGGAATGAGTCAAATCGGACACATGCGCAAACTCTTTCTCTTGTTTAGTAACAATCCCGTGGTCAAAAACTTGTTTACCTATAGGAAATCCAGAAAATCTGTCAATTGAATTTTTCGCCTTTCATCTTTATATGTAGCAAATCGCACACTGACGACACCATTCGGACATCAGCCGTTTGTCTTGTGTGCAATGAGTCAAATCGGACACATGCGCAAACTCTTTCTCTTGTTTTTGGGAGGTATTATGAGCATCATGTGCAGATCTTGGCTGTACCAAGAAAATGCCACGTTGACATTGCCGCCTTAAAATGTCTGCAGGTCAACACCAAAATGAGGGAAATTAGCGAAAAGGAACACAAAGTCAAGCACCACCTTCTGGAATCCCCCAGTCACCAAAAGGTAAACAAGTTCTCGTCAAGAGGCGTTGCTCTTTGTGTCGCTCCTTGACTATATTATCACGTGTTGCTCTGTCCCCTTTCCTGTGTTTCTCTATTCAAATTGGATGCAGCGCCAGTCCTTTGTCTAATACCTTTGACCAATTAATATCTCTGCTCCTGTTCCCCATCTATCCCTCCTTTCCCCTCTCTTATCCTTGCAAAACTGGATAGTCTCCCTCCAAATGGTATTGGAAGCTTGTCCCTGTAAGTTGGAAGCCACCCCCACCCCCACCCCATTCGTTCACACACCCTCCCTCTCCTCCACGCACGCATAGTTTTGTGTTGATGTGTGCGCGCACCTCACCGAGGCTTGTTCGAGCTCATTCTATGCCTCTTTTAGCCGAGGGGATATCAAGCCGATGAAACCCTGTCCTTGCTTTTTTTTTTTAATTCTAAATCACCTTTTGGCACGTTTTATGGCATTATTTGAAGTACACAATGTGTGATAAGCTAACCGTGTTGATTTTTATTCTTTTGTATTTGCTTCAATAGAGTCAGATGAAAGTCATTGCTGGCACGTCTCCTTTTCTTTGCAGTTTGCCCTTCACGCTGACCTGCTCTGTCATCACCTCTCGCTTTTCTGCTCACACACTCGTCTGATCATAACTCAAACGGTTCTGACACATCTTTGCTCGGCATGGGCATGATTGATAAACTGCTTGTAAAGAATTACAAGACTGTTTGATCCTCATGTTCATCGATGGCCATGCCTTGAAGCGAAACGCCATTTTTCTAATGGTTTTGACCGCGGCAAGTCGGGGATGCAATTAAGTTTAGCCTCACGCAGTCACGGCGGCTGATGAGATTAAACACAAACAAATAGCAAAGTGAATTTGAAGATGTTACCCTTTTTAACACAATGATCTCCTTTAGTGTGTCACCGGGTGGTATCACTTTGTCTGACCACTGAGCGTGTCCACCTGCATCTATTTACAACATTAAGCAGTAGGATTGGGCTGCTTTGTATTTTGTAAAAGCTGGTTGGTCCGTTGCCTTTGTCTGTGCTGTTAATACGTAATGGCTGTGAATAGATCGGTACTGTATTTACTTTCATATTGGAACAATTATTTTGCTGTTGTATCAATGATATTTCATGCCTTTGGACGTCGATTGATTCCTTGATGTCTAAGGACACCAATTCCCTGTTTCTGCTCTTTGTATCCAATACCCTCCCAAGTGCGGTCTCGCTGAACGTACCACATTTAGGAGAAGCATTAAAGTAGAGAGACGTATGCCCTATCATGTATACAGATTCAAACTGGGGATTTTACGTCTTGAAATTGTGCACTCGTTTTACGTACGCGGGCTTGTGATCACCCATCTGCCCCCATTATGCAATTTTTTTTCTTGCCCCCTTTGATTGGGCTCCATCACTTGCCACCCTCTCGCGTAGGCTTCTGGCTCCCTGTTGTTCACTGCGTTAGCACCTCCATCCCACCATCAGCAACCAGCTCTCTTCAGGGTTCTCCCTCAACTGATGCCACAGGGCCTTTTCATTGAACCGCATCCTGGAATTTCAGTCCTTATCAATACAACTAAAACCCTGTGCTCTGGAAGGGAGAACCTTGGTGGGATGTTTCACTCCAGAAGGCTTCAGACAACAAATAAGGTCAAACATCCTTGAGTCAAATGTGCTTTTGACTGGCTCGGCCGTGCAAAAAAATTTGTTCTGTGCCCCTGTAGTCATATTTCCGTTGATAGTGTTGTTATAGTATTTGTCTGATTCGATTTTGGCTCTCTTATGTTCAAAGGTACGGTATCGTCGGGAGCATGCGTCTGGCCGCCATCTTCCCTTCTTCCCGCTGCTGGAAGATTTGATGAGAGATGTTTGTGATGGAGCGGCACTGCTTACGGTTGTCCACTACTACTGTCCAGACCTCATGAAGCTGGAGGGTATGCCCATAACATCCTGTTGCGAAACTCTGAATTCAGACACACACTGCGTTCAGTTTGTCTAAGTCAAAATTCTCAACGCCCCTGAAGAATTTGTGTTGAACAACATGATTTTTTTGTTTTTTTATTCCACAAGATTTAGCATGACATAAACTCCCAATGCGCCATTCAGTCAAGTCCTTATCTGATCTGCTCTGTTCCTGTCCGATCAGATATTTGCCTGAAGGAAGTTCCCTCCATGGCTGATAGCCTGTACAACATCCATCTGCTCAGAGAGTTTGCCAACGAGTATCTGAATAAAAGTTTCTATCTGACAACAGAAGACATACTCTATTCGCCTCCTGTGCTCAAGGTGGCATGACCCACTCTTTTGATTCATTACACAATATAAAGATGAAACTTGTAACAACAACTACAAAAATTAGACACCATCAGTAATCATCGCTTGTCTTTGCAGCACAACGTGATGGTTTTCATTGCTGAACTCTTCTGGTGGTTTGAGACTGTCAAACCAGAATTTGTCCTGCCCAGGGACCTGCAAGAGTCGAAAGATGGTACGTTTGCCCACTTGATGCAAGTGGAAAGTGTTTTGTGTGTTATCAGCAATATTTCATCTTGAAGCCTTCACGTTTAACTTTACCATTGAAAGTCTTTTTCTGTCCATTCCTGTTTGTTATCAGCAGCAATATTTCATCTTGAAACCGTCATCTTTACCATTGAAAGTCTTTTTCTGTCCATTCCTGTAGCTCGAGCCATTGCTCAGCCAAAGAGTTCTCGTCCATCAGTGCCCATCTCCAATGCCACCAAACGGAGCTTCAAGGCCAGTCCTGGCGTGTCAGAAAACCAGAGCGGCCCTGAAATCTGTAGCAGGTGATTTCATCATACCATATTATATTGACTCGTGTTTCGTGACTGGAGTGAGGAAGTTTGTGTTTCAACCTGCCCGGATCTCTTTTAATCTTTGGTTGTTTTCTTGGTGGACTTGCACTATCATTATGTGCCGTTTCCATTAGACACGTTAGTCATATTACTTAACAAGAATCAGATGGCTGAAGTTAGTTAATTTTTATTTTGTCGATTCTCCAAAAATACAATTGAAAGTGAAGAGTTTTATCTCAGTACCTTAGGCTCCTCTGCCTTTTGGTCCCTCATTGGTTTCGATTTGTCTAAAGAAACGGAGTTGATACTTTTTTTAGGGAATTGTTGGATTATACTTTCTTCTTTTCAAGACAAAACACGATTTGATATTGTCGGCTACCAAAAATGAAGAAAAAAAAACTGTTTTCTTTTGTTTTTGTTGTGTCTTAGTAGAGGAGGTCCACCCTTTAGTCCTTCCCATCCTCTCTTGCCTTTGCGCCAGAGACAACAGAAGCCTCAAGGAGATGATGGCGCGGGTAAAAGCATCACGTTACAGAATTGATGAGCGTCTGAATCCTCTTTGTAACATTTGAAATCAATATTTTCCCCCTTCTAAGGTCTAAGGAACCGCTCCAACTCCTTGACCCAGATGGACAGACAGGCCCGAGGTTCTGCTGTCGCTTGGCCCGACAAGAGACAGAGGTAAAAATAATTCAGAACTGTCAAGCGCAGTTCCTGAGTGTGATGTGCCAGTAACAGTTGGTTGGAATTTGCATTTCTCTGCTGATCCTTATCCGAACATATTGACTTGAAGCTATTTATAGACCATAGAACCACCCAACTATAACAGTAGTGTAGGTAGTAGATAGAAAAAGTGGTGTATTCAATTGTCAGGAGACTCGAGAAATAATTGTAATAAATGTATTTGATTTCCCTTCCTCAGGCCAGTGTCCACACTGAACCCCTTCATGTGCCATTCAACTGCTGACAGCGATGCAGATGTTGCTTCCGGCGACAGTGTCAGCCTTGCCCGCTCAATAAGTAAAGACAGCCTGGCGTCCAACGTCATCAACGTAACGCCGAAACACCAAGCTTCACTTCACCAACCCATGCTAGCCCAGATGCGCAGAATCAATGGTCACGGCCTCATGGGAAAAGTTCACCTGGATTGCGAAGAAGAATCTCTGGTGGCGGTGGCCAGGACGGAGGTTGCTTCCATCTCCAAAAAACCTGATGGGAGCCAAGCGTCTGCCGCAGCAGAACCAGAGACCAAGTCCAAACCTACAGCTGATGGTTTCTACCTAGAACCGCTGATGCCTGCCGTGCTGAAACCAGCTAAAGAGAAGTCTGTATGCCTGAACAAGGAAGAGGAGAGTGGCGAGGGGCTCCGGTCCACAGGAAAGAGCTTTTCACGCAGGGGGGACGGATCTTCTCCCGCAGTTCATAAGAAAGCTCCCCTCAGCCTGAACAAAACATTTACTCCCACGGCTGATGAGCCTGACTTGTCAGATGAGCCTGTTCGGGCTCAGGCGGCTTTCCGACCCCTTGCCACCAGCAGTGTGGACACCTCGTCGAATGAGCCCGGCGGAGGCTTCTACCTGCATTCAGATTCGGAGGTGACAAAGCCTTGCCCAAGCCTTGATCCGGATCTTGAAGACCTGGACGAAGAGGATGAGGATTTGGATGAGGCCGTTCCGGCAAAAGACCTCGCTTGGCCAAGTAAGTGCTTTCATGAGCATGATGAAGAGGAATCCGCCAAACTTCAGGAGGACATGAATGTCAAGGAGCACGAGGACAAAGACATTAACGGTTGCAGCGGTCGCTCCAGCCCATGCCTTAGCGCCTACTCTCAGGCCAGCAGCGTGGCCAGCGGAAGTGTGCGCATGACCTCTTTTGCTGAGCGTAAAGCCCAGCAGCAGCGCTTCGGCAGTAACCACGACCTACGCTCCAGTGCCTCCAGCTCGCAGAGGACCACTCCAGATGGATCCGAGAGCAGCGGGCCCCTGTCGTCCTCCTGGAGGCTCAAAAGAGACCAGAGTCCCTCGTCACCCCTGGGTGTTTGCCCTCGTGCCGGTGACGGGAGCGGCGGTGCCAGCGTCCTTGCATCCGAGATTGTACAGCTGCGCATGCAGCTCGAGGAGAAGCGTCGTGCCATCGAGCATCAAAAGAAGAAGATGGAAGTGCTGTCAGCCCGGCAGAGGCAAAAGCTGGGTAAGGCTGCTTTCCTGCATATAGTGAAGAAGGGCGGCGGCGGCGGCAAGGGCGACACTTTGCCCAATCCACTCAAAGCCGACCCCTCCAAAGATGAGCGCCATAGACAGAAAGTAACGCCGTCATCTAAAGACGATATGTGCGCGGATGCCCTGAGAGGGGACAAAGAGCTGGAGGGATCTACGCCCTCAGGTGCCTTAGATGCAGACAAGAAGGGAAACAATGGCAGCTTCTACCAAGAAGAAGAGTTGGACCTCAATGAGTGCAACCGCTCTATCGAGCTGCTGCATGAAGCCATCGGCAGCATCCAGCAGCAGATGATGCAATTGTCCCTTCAGCAGGAAATGATGATGAAGCAGAATGTACTGTCCCCTCCCGGTGCTGCTCCTCACCCGCTCGCAACTGACAAAAACAGTGACACTAAAGCCGGGGACGCTACACACGATGCGGAACACCTTTCCGTCACCGCCCCCGCGAGGAAACCCCCCAAACTGAGCTCAGGGCGAAGATCCAAGCCGGCGGAGCTCAAGGTGAGCAAAGAGCAAAGCCGGCACACCGCTCGGACCTTGGCCCCCTCCCACAGTGGGCCGGAGACGCAAATGCATCCAAGGCAATCGGCTGGGGGCAGGTCCCCCAGGAACGAGCATCCTGACCCGCAAAGCCTCAGAAACCTTCCGGCGGGAGAAACCCCCAACAAAACGACCTCGAGCCAGGCACGCAGCGCCGCTTTTCGGCTTCACGACGATGTGAACATGCGACTCCCCACCAGGGTGGACCTGAATGCTTTGTCTGCTCCTGAAGTGTCCTTTGACGACTGCCTGTCCAGCACCCTCAAAGACAACTCCTCAGACAGCTCGGGGAAAGAGAACGTACCGTCGGAGGAAGTGCAGCGCAGCAAAGCTCACTTGATCGAAGTCGATATGTCGGAGCTGAAAGACCCCGAGGATGAGGAGGCTGCTGACACAACCGCAAACGAAGCGGATGGAGAGCAAAAGTCAGTCATGGGCTTCTTCTTCAAGGTATTTGCCTACACAAGCAAAGATTTTTATAAGACCACGTATTTATATGACAAGGTGGCCTGCGGTTACATTGCTGCCTATCAAACTTTTAACACCAAGCACTATACCAAATTGCTGGACTCTCCGAGCACCACCACATTAAAATAGGGTGACGTAAGCCCGCATGTTTATCAATGCGAGACTTGCTGCCGACTGAAAACAGTTGCCCGGGTAACAGCCAATCGCGGCTCGGCGTACTGATGATTTCATGCTCTCGTTCTGTTGCAACGCTGCAGGATGAGCAGAAAGCAGAGGATGAGCTTGCCAAGAAGAGAGCGGCGTTCTTGCTCAAGCAGCAAAAGAAAGCGGAGGAAGCCCGTCTCCGCAAGCAGCAGCTGGAAGCGGAAACGGAGCTGAAGCGCGACGAGGCCCGGTAAAATTCTTCAGTATCGGTGTTTGCCTTGGCCCGCGATACAGCCACTCATATGCGTTTGATCAACGTCAGGCGGAAAGCTGAGGAGGATCGCCTGCGTAAGGAAGATGAGAAGACGCGGCGGGAGCTGATAAAGCAGGAGTACCTGCGGAGGAAGCAGCAGGAGATCTTGGAGGAGCAAGGTCTGGTCAAGCCCAAGACTCCCAAACCCAAGCAGAAACACAGACCCAAGACCATCCTCAGGGAGGAGTCATCCAGCGACAATGTCTCCAAGTGCTCTTCTTCCACACGTAAGACTGACTGAGGTTTCACCTCAGAACATTCCACTTGTCTTCCCCCTTGGCGTCTCACCAACCACCACGTGTAGACACTGCCCTCTGGTGGTGTGTCCTTTGCATTACGTCACATTGTGCACAAAGGAGTACACACGCACGCACCCTTCCACACCCTATTTCTATAGCATGCCATTTTAACCTACTGAACTGGATATTTCTACCTGAGCTCAGAGCCTCGTTGTTTCCACTGCCTCTCTTTTTTTTCTTTCCACGCATTTTTTAAACATGGTTATTTCCTAGTGTCAAACAACATTTGAGTTGAATCTGCGTTGGGGTTTAAAAAAAAAAAAAAGTTAATTACATGTTTTGTACATAGAGAACAACTTTTTTTTTTCTCCCCAAATTATCTCAACGTTTTGTTGTCAATATTATCCTTATTGGAGAGCAGCAGGGCATGCAAAAAGTGAGAGACCAGTTTAAGGTTCATCTTGAACCTGAACCCAAAAAGCCCAACACCACAACCTTTTTGGGAGTAATATATATCTAAACCTTTGGGCCACGGGGTCAAAAGTCACTCCCGAAACTAAAATGTCAATTTTCTCTCACAGCTGACAACCTGAGCACGGCCCAGTCTGGATCGAGTCTGTCGCTGGCCTCTGCTGCCACCAATGAGGCTGACAGCGTCCACTCTGGGGGTGCAGGCTCCCACCGGTAAGATGCACCACCTTAGTCACATATATGCCTCGGCTTGTGCCGTCGCGCAACAGTCATTCTTGTCGTGCGTCTCAGCTGCGACTCCGTGGAGTCGTTCCCCGGAAGTCGTAACCACAGTCGGGCTGCGGAAAGAGACTGGGACAACGGCTCCACCGCGTCTTCCATCGCATCCCTGGCCGAGTACACTGGTTAGTTAATACTGTTCATCCTTTTCCTATCTCGTATTTCCCATATGTTGAGAATTGTTCTGAAATGCCTTGAAAAGGTCCAAAGCTTTTCAAAGAGCCGAGTGCCAAATCCAACAAGCCAATCATCCACAACGCCATCTCACACTGCTGTCTGGCCGGAAAAGTCAACGAGCCGCAGAAGAATCAAATCCTTGAGGTCAGGTTCACTTCCTTCTCATTTTAATCCCATTTGCAAAAGTAAATTGTATTTGTATCATTTGTACCCGGTTCAAACTGTTGCCACCCTAAAACCTTGATCAACGTCATAACGTAACACAACTAACAACACAGCATTGTTAACTGTCACTTCTTTTCAGACCAATACCAGTACGAATGTTCGCTCTTTGAGTACTCATTAAGTACCGAGACCTGTAGTACATTTAATCTATGAAATATCATCATTTAACGGCAAGTCAAATCATTGTGAACAAATACATTTATATCTGACATAAATAATGATTTGCCTATGTGTCAAACTCCGCAATATAGTCCCAACTACATCCAAGGAGAACTTGGACACACAATGTCAGATTTGCCCCCCC